CAATTTGGAATTATTTTGCTTGCAATAGCATGTACTTTCTACATGTAAAGTGATAAATTATAAGAGGACTAAAATTTTCATACGGAGAATCCATCATCATGTCATATATTACTCGTTAATCATACTAGTCTGGTGTGTTCTCTTGAATGGCCATTACTTTTTTATTTCTCAATGAAATTTTGCCAATTTGATATTATTTTGCTTGCAATAGCATGTACTTTCTAAATGTCAAATGATAAATTGTAAAAGGACTGACATTTTCATAGGGAGAATCCATCATCATATTATACTCTGTCAATCGTACTGGTATGTTCTCTTGAATGGCCATAACTTTTTTATTTCTCAATGAAATTTTGCCAGTTTGATATTATTTTGCTTGCAATAGCATGTACTTTCTAAATATAAAATGATAAATTGTAAAAGGACTGACATTTTCATAGGGAGAATCCATCATCATATTATACTCTGTCAATCGTACTGGTGTGTTCTCTTGAATGGCCATAACTTTTTTATTTCTCAATGAAATTTTGCCAATTTGATATTATTTTGCTTGCAATAGCATGTACTTTCTAAATGTCAATTGATAAATTGTAAGAGGACTGAAATTTTCATAGGGAGAATCCATCATCATGTCATATTACTCCGTTAATCGTACTAGTCTGGTGTGTTCTCTTGAATGGCCATAACTTTTTTATTTCTCAATGAAATTTTGCCAATTTGGAATTATTTTGCTTGCAATAGCATGTACTTTCTACATGTAAAGTGATAAATTATAAGAGGACTAAAATTTTCATACGGAGAATCCATCATCATGTCATATATTACTCGTTAATCATACTAGTCTGGTGTGTTCTCTTGAATGGCCATTACTTTTTTATTTCTCAATGAAATTTTGCCAATTTGATATTATTTTGCTTGCAATAGCATGTACTTTCTAAATGTAAAATGATAAATTGTAAAAGGACTGACATTTTCATAGGGAGAATCCATCATCATATTATACTCTGTCAATCGTACTGGTATGTTCTCTTGAATGGCCATAACTTTTTTATTTCTCAATGAAATTTTGCCAGTTTGATATTATTTTGCTTGCAATAGCATGTACTTTCTAAATATAAAATGATAAATTGTAAAAGGACTGACATTTTCATAGGGAGAATCCATCATCATATTATACTCTGTCAATCGTACTGGTGTGTTCTCTTGAATGGCCATAACTTTTTTATTTCTCAATGAAATTTTGCCAATTTGATATTATTTTGCTTGCAATAGCATGTACTTTCTAAATGTCAAATGATAAATTGTAAAAGGACTGACATTTTCATAGGGAGAATCCATCATCATATTATACTCTGTCAATCGTACTGGTGTGTTCTCTTGAATGGCCATAACTTTTTTATTTCTCAATGAAATTTTGCCAATTTGATATTATTTTGCTTGCAATAGCATGTACTTTCTAAATGTCAATTGATAAATTGTAAGAGGACTGAAATTTTCATAGGGAGAATCCATCATCATGTCATATTACTCCGTTAATCGTACTAGTCTGGTGTGTTCTCATGAATGGCCATAACTTTTTTATTTCTCAATGAAATTTTGCCAATTTGGAATTATTTTGCTTGCAATAGCATGTACTTTCTACATGTAAAGTGATAAATTATAAGAGGACTAAAATTTTCATACGGAGAATCCATCATCATGTCATATATTACTCGTTAATCATACTAGTCTGGTGTGTTCTCTTGAATGGCCATTACTTTTTTATTTCTCAATGAAATTTTGCCAATTTGATATTATTTTGCTTGCAATAGCATGTACTTTCTAAATGTAAAATGATAAATTGTAAAAGGACTGACATTTTCATAGGGAGAATCCATCATCATATTATACTCTGTCAATCGTACTGGTATGTTCTCTTGAATGGCCATAACTTTTTTATTTCTCAATGAAATTTTGCCAGTTTGATATTATTTTGCTTGCAATAGCATGTACTTTCTAAATATAAAATGATAAATTGTAAAAGGACTGACATTTTCATAGGGAGAATCCATCATCATATTATACTCTGTCAATCGTACTGGTGTGTTCTCTTGAATGGCCATAACTTTTTTATTTCTCAATGAAATTTTGCCAATTTGATATTATTTTGCTTGCAATAGCATGTACTTTCTAAATGTCAAATGATAAATTGTAAAAGGACTGAAATTTTCATAGGGAGAATCCATCATCATGGTATACTCCATCGATAGGAATTGGTGTGTTCACTTAATTAAATTACCATAACTTTTTGTACTTTTCAATGAAATTTAGCCAGTTTGGAATAGATTTTTTTGTCATAGCATTCACTTAGTAAATCAAACCTAATAAATGAATTTGTGTATATTTTTTGAAACATTAAGAAAATGACCAATGGGAGACTTTTTTCTACTCAAGACTAGGTTTTCAAATTTAAATAAATTATTTGAAAAGGGAGAGCTTTACCTGCCTTATAAATACAGTCATAATTACTATTCAAAAATAGAAATTAAGTTTTTAAAGTCAGATACCTGCATGCATATAACATATGAATTTATTTGACCCCTAAATTCATCTGTGAAACCTGAGTGGACTACAAGTTTTCTCCTTTTATTTCATGCAAATTCACTTGGCTGAGTACTTTTATTTGATAACGCTCTCCGAGTGAAAACGCTACCATGATTAAAAATAATTCAACATTCATTTAAAGTAGAAAAATATAGTCGTTATAGAACAATTGAATACTTTATTTAGAATGAAACAAAACGCCCGGAGTGAATCCACATAGTCGAGACGAATCCACCCAATACCGATCAAGATCTCCACTGCGCTTTGTATTCGTAGTAAAATTACACATTCTGTAAATGCATTGTTGCAACTGTGATGCAAGAACAGGGAAAGATGCAGTCTGCTGAAAGGATTAATTCACGTACTTTTAAATCAATTTAGTCTCAGTTATATTCATTTTATTGAGATATTGGTTTAATACGTAATGCTTGAATTAGTCCACAATCACCTCAGCGCAATTAATAAGTCAAAAAGAAAGGTGCTTTAGTTCAGTTCAGTTGTGGAATTCCCTCCTATGTATAAGGAGCACCCGAGAAGGTGGTTTCATAAAATACATTTAAAGGTCGGAAGTATTTCAGCACTTATAATTATAACCCATTACAAACCTATTTCAATGATATTTACAAAAATATTTTAGTTACCATTCATTATGAAATCATTTCAAGATAGATCCATGCAGAAGTCTATTTAAGGTTTATGATAAACACTGATAAAAGTAAAGAATAACAATTTTATATCTAGACCACAGCATGTATATAATATGACAGTAAAGTTTTTTTTATAGTGATATAAAGCTAGAGTAGAAATATTAAAGTAATGATTTTAAAATGTTAAGTTTGCAATGAATTATATGGCAAAAAGCTTTCAAAAATAATTTTGACCCTTGACCGTATTAGATTAAAAGAAGATGGACTGTTTTTCCCTGTACATTAAAGAGATAAAAACAATTTCCATTCTCCTGTAGGATAAAATATTCTATAAATCATTTTGTTAGAGAACTTTTAATCCTATTAGTGACAATTATAGAACTTCTTGTCCTAATTCACAAATTATGGGATAAAAAATCCCATGTAAGGTTAAAAATGGGAGTTTTGCTTCTATAGGAGAAAAAATCCCACAGAACTCATTTTTCTCCCACAGAATAATGGTGGGATATTAGTTAGGAGAGAAAATCCCACCATAATCCCATGGGATTTCTTGATTGCAGGTGTAATATCTTTTAATCTAGAAGATATTCAGGTGTAAAGGTTAGTCCATGTTGTGCGATTAAAAAAATCCCACCAGATGACATAAATGGTTTCCATGTATCTTTGGAAAAGTGGTTGGCGAAAGTCCGGACAAATGTCGTGTCCGGAGTTAAATGTCGCACTGTTAAATAACCCGTAGCATGGTTGTTCCTGATTCCCTTTGTTAGAGACTGTAGCTCTCGATTTGCATGCCTGATTTCTTGTTAGGTTTGCTAAGTACTGCTGCATGTTTGGTTGTAGAATTACTTTTAATTACTGAGTTATCATACTTTGTAGATTTGCGTATGATTACCTAGACAATTACATGTACCTGTACATGTACATATAACTTTTGTAACTTTTGTAGATATTTGTAAAATTACAGACAGTTCAGTTTATTAGAGTAAAAAGACATACATCTCATGGAAAAATTTTTACATATACATGTACAATGTATATTAAAGTACACAAAATGGAAAAATTGTCTTCTGCAATTTATGAATTGCTCAAAGAAAATGTCTTTGTTGCATTTATTTAGCTAAGTACAAACATTTTCAAAATTACGTAATTTCAATAGATTTTGTTGTAAATTTATAAGTACCAAATATGTTATATTTTATATTTTGAAGGCCTATAATTACATATTAATGTACGGAAACGATACTCTATTTCTTTTCTTGCAATTGCCAAGATGCTCTGTAATTACCGATCGATACTTTAGATAAACCTAAACACAAAAATACCGATTTATTTGATATCATTATAGGCATCGTTTCCAAAGAATTTTTGAAACTTCTTACTTTTAGACGTGGTTTGGATTCTTTTAGGGTTTTTTGTAATCAACCTTAAAACAGAATTGGTCGAAAGACTCATTTTTTTTTTTTTAATAAGAAGGGGGATCTAATGTATTTCTCAGATTATATACGTGTTACCATAGTAACATATTATACAGCGTGATCTTTAATGATCAAAGAAACAAAACTTGGTTATTGAAACTACGTCATTCCTTCTCCCTGAAAACCATACTTCGTTAATAAACGTAGATTTTAACAATTAAAAAATCACTCATATGAAAACCTAATATTAATAGTATTGTAGTGTATTTGATTTAGCTAATTTGTTTACCGTAAGTTGCTCGTTTTGTTGGCTTGTTGTGATAACCTCTGACCTTTGTATTGTGTTCGTGTGCAGTGCTAACTACCCAAAAGTATCAACAGACACCTGTGTCCCGCTTCTTCCAATCCCCAAAAAACCCAGGTAAGTGCTAATTATGACGTCACAATATGGTGAGTAATAATATGACGTCATAAAAGGTAATTATAAACACGGTTCCTCATTTATTTTTGATGTTTTGATAATTTTGAATTATAAATTATCATAATCAAATTTTTTGATATAGACTGTTCAATGAAGAGAAAAAAATCATGGGGGGAAATTTAAGTTATATACACGTGGTACGTGAAAAGTTTAAACTTTATTGAATTAAACTTACCTATAAAGTTTAAACTTTTAATATAACACATGCGCTATTCTTTCCCAGTTCGAAATAACCATCTGAAATCAATATTTTCAAGTTCATCTTAGCAATTTTTTTTTTTTAGATGAGATGTTTCTTTCTGTTTTTAAAATGTGGCAAATTGTTTTATGGTTGTATATTTGTTATCATTATTATTCTAAAAAGAATTTCTTTACATGTATTATTTTTTCTTTAATACCTACCAGCGAAAGATGTTTTTTTTTTTAACATTGAACAAAACTAAGATTTTAAATGCCACTCGAAATAACAATACAGGTTGTCTTTCAGAATCTCAGAAAACGCTCGTAATTTGTTCAGCTGCTTAGTACAAGTCGATGCACTATAATATTCCTCTATCATCTTTCCTGCATTACAATTGATTGTCCCGTACGTTCGAATTCCCCCTTTAGTTCAATCCTTATCAATTCCATCAATTATCTAACGTCAACAGTTCCGTTTAAGTAATTAACACTTTATTTGATGTATAATTAAAAAAATACTCGCAACAATAGCCATGTCAAGTAGATTTTGTACTTTGTTGTTGTGTTTAAGATTGCTTTGTTAAAATAAATGAAAGCATCTTGGTTCTTAATGTTTTAATTGTCGACATTTAGAGATATGTTTTTAAAATAATTTTGAAAAAAAAAGAATTTAATGCATCTATTTCATTATTAAATGTAATTCTTATCATATATGAGGCTATTTAACATAAGAAAGAATTACGTGTTTATCATGACGTATAAGTGCCAAATATAACAGTAATATGTACACCGTTTTCTTGTATATTGTCTTATTTTGCTAGGCTACATAGGGCCTGACTTCAGGGTTCAAAATCTTTTTTTTATACTTTATATGTCTAGAAAATAATTTTTCTGATTGATATTTACCACAAAGCACATTTTTACAAAGAATTGTAATCATGAATGCAAACAAAGATTTGTAGTAATGACGTCAATATATCACGTCATCATTAGTTTCATGTATTGACATTTACTCACAAGAATAATGGGATGTATACAGGTCATGTAAATTGAGATATTATATTGGATTTCACTTGATATGTATGTCAATATTGATATTTATCTATCTGATTTCTGACCTCATCGTTTTACACTTAATTTTTTTATTCAGTGTCATGATGAAAATTATCAATATCAGAGCATTCATTCAATACAATTCGACTTTTTTGATATTTGTAGTTTTCGACTAGTTAGTATCTAAGATGGTTTATTTGCAGTAAATTTAAATTCCTGCTTTATTTGATAAACAGAGTCCTTTCAAATGAAATATCAAGATCTTTTGTTATAAGATGCAGTTTTGAAATTCAGAGTAGATGTGATGACGATGCTACTATACTTTTTTTAACAGAAGAACTCTGTCCGTATAATACATCGCGTTTTTTTCGTTTCCAGGGATACGTTTCGCGACATGGAAAGACGGCGACAGATGTCGGAAGAGATTGACTCCGTGAGGGGCTTAGAATCCTGGGAGCCTGCAAAGCCAATTCACCAGGCCCTGATCCCGGAAGATCCCCCGGCTAAGAAATAAACAGATGTCAGCTGATCAAGCCCGGCTGCTGACACTGAAATCTTTTCCCTGTTAAACATGTCTTCTTTAGTGATACTTGTCATTTTCTTTGTTGATCGCTATTCAGGCGAATGTATTTTTTCTCTTCCATTCCTGGTTACATACATAATGTGATATGTTTAGAAATATTATTGTTTGTATAAGTAAACAATGTTATGCTTTGTCATAAAGCCTTTTTTTTTTTTTTACCTTCTCTAAGACGATATTTATTGATTTGTAAAATAATAAGATAACATTTTAGCAATATTGATTTTGTTCTATCCAGTACTTCCATCTGAATTTTGTCTTCTGTTAAAATATTTACATTGTGTGTAATGGTAAAAAAGAATGGTGAATATCAAAAGATACTTCAGGGGAAAGGATATTCTTCGCCGATTTTTTCACTCAAACAGTTTTCATTTCTTTCGCATAGTTTACGCATCAGAGTGTCTTTTACAATTTACAATTGCCTTTCCTATAGAAAGACTTTAATACATTAAAATTACGTGTATTATATCATATTTATGACCACCAATAACTTTTTACGATTTGGCAATCTACTGAAAAGCCTTCTATGCTTTGACACATTCTGGAATATCATATTTCTTTTTTTACGTAGAAGTTTATTGCACGGTGCTTATGAATTGAAGCCTTCTATGTGTGTTTTATGAGAAACAAACATCCGCTTTTACGGCCTCAATAATGTTTATTTGGCATTAGACATTAATGTTTTTCTTTTAATTTATTAGCAGAATGGGATTGAGATATTTTCTTGCATCTGTTATTAAATTATTTATTTTAAATGTACTTGGAAAATTCCCAGGATGGAAAAAAGGCAATATTCTGTTTCTCTAAACACAATGTATATGGAGTATATATAATTTATTTATATATATAATTTCCTGCTTTATATTGATATTTTATACTTTGTGATGATTTGTTATTTATGATAAATTTACGTATTTTTTATATACTGTAATTTATTAGTACCATGACACCATTAGCATTGTACAGTGTCAGTATTTTTTCCAAACAGTATTCAAACATTTATCACTTGTTTTAATAATACTCGCTTATTTCCAATTTCACATATGTTTCAATGTAATGAAATGGTTATTTTTTTTTTTCGGTAAATACATGTATATTGCATAGAATTAGACGCGGAAAAGATATATGTACCTGTGGGACCGATAATTTACTTTCAATGAGAAGTAAAAGCCTTTATATTGTTAAAATGAAAATTTTGAAATGATCAAATTGATTTAAAAAGAAATAATAGAGTTGATCATTAGTGAGGCATATACATTACATCTTATTTATGTTGGACAGAACAAGCAAACATTTTAATATTTGATCTTTCAAATGATAATATAGTTCAGTTTGTCTGTCACTGAAGCTTTCATATTCCAGAAATAAAATTCCAAGAAAAAATAGTATTAATTGTTCGTAGTTTTTATCATGTTTGTACCTGTTTTGTCCTTAAAAGCTTTTATTTTCATTGGTTACAATGTTGTTTCTAACTCTAAAAGCGTCAATTGGCCAGGTTCGTCATCTTGTCATTTTCATCCCAATCATTTCACATGTGGCATTCTGTGATAATTCAAAATTAGATTAAGTACTTATAAATATTCAAATATCCGCAATACATAGTAAAATATATTTATAAATGTACTGACTGGAAAAATCGTACCATATTCTTCCTAATAAAGTTGCAGCCGTCACGTTAGCTCAGTCGGTAGACTGCTCGCTCTGTGATCGGTAGGTCGTGTGTTCGAATCACGGCTGCGATTAACCTACCTGTGTAAGTCGATAAAAAATAGGTAGCAACTGTTCTTTCGCCAAGCGCTCGTCACTTTGAAGTGAAAGTTGCGGGTCCTTCGGATAATAACTTAAAAACTGAGGCCCCGTGTCACGGTAGGCGTTGGCACGATAAAGAACCCTCACTGCTCAATGGCCCTAAGTGCCGAGTAAAGGTCTAAATTTGAAGCCCTTCACCAATATATGATGACGTCTCTATATGAGTGAAAAATTCTCGAACGGGACGTAAAACAACATACAATCAATCAATCAATCCTAATAAAGTTGCATTTATACACTGTGCGATTGAGGCACATGTAACTGTAAAAAAAAATAGTTCTTTTTCATTTTGCATAAATGTATAGAGTTTTAGCTGTTTTTGTCAAAAGCTAGGTTCTTATATATATCAGGAAGGTATTCCTAGTCTGTATACAATCTTCATGTGCACACTTCCAGCATGCGGTATTGCTCTGCTTCGAAAAATTCGGTACACAGGTAGACTATAACAAGACACAATTCTCTATATCTATGTAGCCATTGGTACAAAATATAGGTTATGAAATTCTTTCAAAACTTAGCTTTCCTCTGAGTTAAGTTAATAACTTTCTGCAGAGTTAAACTCTACCAAGAGTTATTAAATACATGAGTTTTGAATTTTATGATCCGTGTTACCATTGGTACCTAGTTTTAAAAAAAAAATGCTTGAAGTTCCCTCAAAATAAGATAAAATTTATAATTATTTAAAGTCGGGTTTTGACAAATAAAAATAAGCTCTGAAGAACCCCATCCTATTTTTTTTTTTCAGATGAAATCAATAATTCGGTGTCGTAAACTACTACTTCCTATTTAAACCTGATATCTTATTCGAACAAGAAAAAAATAAGCGCCCGAGTTTTTTTTTCTCAGCAATGAAGAATAGTTAATCTTATAGGACTAAATGTAATTAGCGCCAGTCGTTTAAGGACATTCCTAAAACACACACTGGTTCGAGTGTCCTGTGTTTAAACAGTCTCGCCGACGCAGTTTGAATCGTTATAATACAACAACCAAAATCCATAATATGTCAATTAATGTTACGATGACACAAGAATTTGTATTGTCATTAAGTAATTATAACCTTAACCTGATTGCTTTTCTTTCCAAAAAAGACAATATCATGTATTTACTTTTTATCTCCAAAACAAATTTAGACTTACTATAACGACAGTTTTTGCAAACACTAGTACAACTTCTTTGCGTCATTGACGTAAATTTTGGAAAACTTGAAACATAAATAGAAAAGAATTCCATGAAAAATTGAAAGAAATGCATTAGTGCGTGGGAAATGTCAAATCTTTATACCAAGACTATAATTTGTTCATTATATATATTTTTTTCAATGAAATTTCTCTTTCATGATTGTACTTGTCTTATGGACAGATGATACGAAGGAAAAAATAGATGCCCGGATTGATCTATATTTTTCGACCCCTCTGGGTATAAATGATGCGAATAATAAATTTCTGAAGTATTGTAAACCTTCCATGATGTTCAAAATTTTACTTTTCTGCAACCATCCTTATAAATTTATAAAACTTTTTGTCACGTTAAATCCCATTACTGTGAGACTTTGATTGAAAAAAAGATAAAATCTAAACTTACTCATTTTCCTTATATAAACATGACTTAAGTTGTTATTTTCAAGATTCTAGATAAAAGTTTGTATCATCTTTCATTAAACTGATATCAAATTTTAGTTTATCATGACTTTGTTTTCGACGATTTTTATCCCAAAAACTTATATAGGCCTTATATAGGACTAGAATATGTATAAGGGACAAAGAGCCTCAAAAGTGGACATTTTACCAATAGCATGTTGAAAATACGAATACATTATAGTTTTCCTTAAAAGGGCAAACAGACCATAGGGAGTATGTTCCCACGTTACAGAGCAAACATATCAAAAAGTATTTTATTTTAAACATGGCAATGGCGTCTCTCATGGATATCAATTAATCCTCTTCATTCTGTGGTTAGTGTCACTGTGGAAGGAATTCCGTTTTTATCCATAGCTGCATCTCTTTGCGTTTTGAGAACTGCAGATTTTTACTTTTATAATATGATGTCATCTATTGAAAAACCCCTACTCTTGGAATGAAATCTTTAGAAATTCTGGCATTTTATGGTATTACTCGTAGGTGTTGAGACAACAATATGGATTTGAAGACAAAAAAGCAGATTCAGCGCTCCGCTTTAACAGAAAAATAATTACATCGGTTGGGATTCAACCAAGAATATGTCAAGGCATTTCTTAAAGCTAAGACACCTACACTTTTGGTTTGGGTTAAATTAAATTTAGAGAGAAAGTAATGATACAAAAATTCTTTCAATGTAAAATTCTCAAAGTTAAATGATACAAGTCTAAAAGCTGCCTCTGAGTAGGGAATTCAAAACCATCTTTAATGCAGCCATCAGAGACTTCAAGTCTTTGGTTTTGGCTGATATGTTTCATACCAAATGTTAGGTCATGTCTTATACACGAAATTTGACGACGGATTACTCGGTCTGCCTGATCAATACAGAGGGCGCACGGCAGGGTGTGACTGGTCCACAGGGGATGCTTACTCCTCTTCGGCACCTGATCCCACCCCTGATGTTTCCCGGTATCTGTGTTTTTGCCCTGTTCACGATTCGTATTTTTTTTGTGGATATATGAGATTGATCCCTGTACTTTATCTTCGTCTTTAACACCACAATAAAAGCCATGTGAAATATATAGTGAAATATAGTTTATTATAGTTAATTATAGTAAACACTTTGATACTTTGATTTACTATGAAACTTTACTCTGAATCTTCTTTGAGATTTCAAAGAAAAAATATCTTAAATTTGATAAGAGTGAAGTAAAACTTTTAAATAATATGTGAATATATAGGTAAAAGTTCCATTAATATAAAAATATACATGTATGAACTGGAGAACATAAAATATAACAATCTGTAATCCATAGTAAATTGACTTTGATTTATTATAGTAAAAACTTTGATTTACTATAGTAAACTAAAGTTAACTATAGTAATTTTTTTTGTTAGTGGCCCTGACTCGGTCTAGGAAGGAACATACTCTCAGATACTCAGACAGGTTAATGACTGTACTATAATGAAAAAGGAAGCAGTAATCGCATTCTATAATTGATTGTATTAGGCTGTAATAATGAAAGGCGAAATATGCAAAAAGTGGGTGTCCTAAGTCTTATACAATGCAGTTATAAAGGATCTCGTATAAATTATAAATAGACATATCCTTTATAAGAACTCATGTTTTTCTAAGTGAATGGCAATTGTTTTGGCTGTAATCGTTATTGTGTAGGTAAAATCTACTGCACTATGTATTTAATCACTATTTATCTTAGGTAATTCACCAGCTTAAGAATCACACAG